TACCATAATAGCACTGCAGGTATCACCATATAATACATCCAACATGCTCACCTTGGATTTCTTGGTATGAATAACAACAATAACTTTGTTTTTCAGATAACTGTGGATGAAACGTTCATAGAACAGCAGTTTATTCATGAAAGGGAAAATCAGTTTGCTAGGGTTATAAATTATAATTGTATAGCCTCAAATAACTAATTAAAACCAATTTAATCAGAAACATGAACATATTAAACATATTCAATAATAAATACCTAAAATGACAGAAATCATATTTAGGAACATTTTATTTAATGACCAAAACTACAGGAGTTGAGCTGTCTCATAGGGCTCCTGCTCTACACGACGAGTTAGGTGCCTCATCCCTTTTTCATTTTATCTGCCTCATTAATTCCCACTCAGTTTTACACAATTCCCTCAGAATAGCAATTAGATTGGTCAGACAACATAAATGTCTTGAGTCTGGATAGCTTTCTAGTCTTATTACAGTAATATAAATCTTGGTCTCAGTTCTTTTATGAATTTCCTGTTGTATGAAGATTAAAATGAAATGGACAATTCATGTAGAAGCAAAAACACGTGACATTCACCATTTATACTTTAGACACTGACAATTTTTATAATATCCAGTTCTACTGAGCCTACATTGGACACATCTCTCTGTGAAGTGGTAACTAAGTACACCACATGGCAAATGAACACAGCGATGTAAGGCTCATTGTGAACAGGTCTTTTACAGCATGTGTTAAAGGATCATCATTTAGAGTATATAAAGCTTTTAGCGCTTCTTCTATAATTTTTCCTTCAAAGCTCAGGTCATTGTTGCCTTGGCTGTTCTGAAATGACACTATTTTAAACCTTGCTACAGGATGAAATCCGAGCCACTGATAAACAACCTCTTATGACACTGACATGCTGTTCCCATTCATATTCTGTGAGATGGATTCGTCAGTGTCCCGGCAGAAGTGTCTCACATATCAACTCTGAAATAAACAAGCCTTCGTTTTAAGGATTGTGATCAATATCTGAATTTAATGTGAGAGAGAGAGAGAGAGAGAGAGAGAGAGAGAGATGACTGTGTCCTTTGTCATAAATGCCTCTTTAGCATTTAATAGTCTGGCAAAAAGATCAGAGTTAACATAGTGCCTTACTTTTTATTAGATCACCGTTCTGCATGCATCTTAGTGGCTGTCATCACTGCAAAGTTAACGCTGTATCATATGATGATTTATTGTCTTTTCATTACATCATTTTGTTTAATATTTCTCGTGACCAAGGTGTGTGGGCTTGCCGTGCTTCACACATTCACACTTGAGAATGTATCTCTGTCCTGTAGAGCAGTGTGAAAGCAATACTTCGCTGAAGAACAGCTTTTAGTGGAACACATTCACATTAAGATAATAAACCATTTATTCAATAAAAATATTAGAAGGGCCTTGATCCTGCTCCATAATTTTCTACTAATGAATTATAGTTCTCATTTAAATTTACTGCTAATGAAATAAAACATTTTTATGTAATCCATTTACATGATCCACCAAAGACCACTTCCATACATATTCATCCCTTTTTAAAGATCCACTCCAATGAAATTCAAGTTTTGACCTTTTTAAATATCCATATTTTTATATGATACAAGACATATGAGCAAAATAAGCAGTTAATGCCATTGATGAGAATTTCCACTGGGAAACTGACTGTAAATGATGATGGATGACGTGTCTCCACTTCCTCCCACTCTCTAGAAATGAAGTGGGGGATGGGCCTGCAGTATTGAAGTTCCACACAAGTTTTATCAATCGCATGTTAGCCTCAGCTGTCAATCATGACGTTTTAACCCATTTTTATGGCATCAAATAACTTATTACAACCATACTTGCTGGGAACATGAGAACTTTGGTAAAGGGGTTATTGCAGTATAATATCTGTTTACATGTGTGGAGATCAGATCATTTATCGGCCAAATGCAATAAATAGTATACTTGGAAAAGTACAACTCTGAAATTTAGATATTATGTAAAGTTTTAATCAGCTCCCCTTCTCACCGACACTGAATAACAAGACAACTTTAAAAGAAAAAAAACCTATAAAGCTATAAATGCACTTAAAGAGAAAGACAAGAAATAACTAAAATCTAATCTATTTAAACTAGGGCCTTATTCTAATATACACAGTTGTTAGTGTTATCTGTATGCAATCAATAAAGCCTATACTGTCAGCTGTGAATTGATAGCCTGCTGCAAGGTGCTTTGTTGAAATTGTGTGAGTATTGTCTGTTTTTATGTCTCTTTTACATTTCCTGCCGAATATTAACCATGATGCAACAGACATGACATCGCCGGCATGTTTATCAATAAAATGGCACTGACACACGGCTGCCAATGAACATCAGCTGTTGAATTTGTCGTGGCTGTGTAAATTGCGGCTCAGAAGCTTATAGGAACAATCTGTTTATTTCTTTGTGCTACCACTGATTAATTATGATACGTCCTGTTCAGAAAGTTATTAATTCTTCAAGCCCCTCCGACTTTCCTGTTGAAATATTGAGCATATCCCCCTGAGGGACACCACTATCTAGAGCATGAGATGCTTTTGTCCAGTAACACACACTCCTCTGGAAGCATGACTAACACAATCTCTACCACATGTGCTGCTCTCCTCCCTTGTGGTTTGGGAGCAAAGGTTGTTTATGCTCTTTGACACCCCTTTTTTGCATTTCACTCTGCAGAGTGTTTTTATGGCTAGCTGTCAAACATTCAAACCGATAAATTCTTTACGTCACTGGATTTGCCTGTTGTTTACCTTTTTTCTTAAAAAGGACAAAGAGCCTGCAGCACCTGAGGATGCTGACATTGTGTAGTCAGCCTCGAAAGAAAATGCCAAACTCCTGCAAAACACAGTAGACGGAAATGTTAATATATAAATATATTCATTGTACAGAACTTTTTAGAGGACTTTTCGATTATCAATTTGTTTAGCAGTTGCCTGCATCTCATGCATCTCAATTCTGTTTCGCATATTGGTTAAAAAAGTAGCAACACATTTTGAGGGACCTAAAGAGTATCATGCTTGCTTACTTGACTGACAAGTATATGCCTGTCACACCTGCATCAATTTTACCTGTGCTGTTCAGTCAGCGACTTAAGACCAAAATCCAGATTGAGGAGAGAAACAGGAAGGAGTAGTAGAGATAAAATTAAAGCAAAAACACTCCTCAAACAAAAAAAAAGCTGATGGTCATGTTTTTTTAAAGCATCTATTACTGGAGCTGCCATTAGTTGTGGTTGTAGTAATTCAACTGACAGGAGGGAGAAGTATAACAGTCTTTTGTCTGACCTGACAGGAAGGTGTCTACATGCAGTGCATTAGATATAATTGGTCTGCATTTATAAAGCACTTTTTCAGTCTTGACCACTGAAAGTGCTTTGTAGTACAGTTTTGCCATTTACCTATTCACACAGACACATTTATACAGGGCAACTATGTGCTGCACTTCCTTTCTCTCTATCGTGCATCACTCATACACAGCCGTCGGGGCAATTTGGGATTCAGTGTCTTGCCTAAGGAAATTTGGGCATGAGGTGTGGAGGACCCATGGATCGGGTCACAGACTGTTTAGTGGAAAACCTTCTCTATCTCCTAAGCCACAGCCACCCATTGATAGAATCAGTTTGATGTGACAAGCTGTGTTTAGATCTCGTGCTGTGAGCTAATAATGACATTGTGAGTCCCTATTGTGGAGCCTGTTGCTGCCATGTCACTGGGTCTCCTGGGAAACCTTGTAGTCCTGTGGGATTTGATCTTACATCAACCAGGAATTGGTCCAGTGTGAGTAACGTGAGCTGCTAGAGAATGGAAAACCGTTCGTAGTGATTGTTGTCAGAGATGAGGAGAGGATTCTCAACCTTTGCACTCACCAGGTGTGTTTTCTGAGTGTGCATGATGGTCCTCATCAATGCTGAGCTTCTGCTGGTGACTACTAAGCAGAGCAACTGGAGAACTTTAGAGAGCAACAACTTTTCTCAGTTTGCTGCTCTGTGTGTTACAACTGAATCTGCTGCAAGCTGCATACAGCACTGAGGCTATTCTTATGATTGTGAATGAGTAAATAACATGGACTCTTTATTGTCACTGTGCATCAACACACAACGGCATTTCGTTTGGCAGCACTCCACTTAGCAGCATATATGTATATAGGGAAAAATGTTCATCTCTCAAGCCTGTTCTCATCATACAGTACACAAACCAAAATATACGGAAGAAGCAAAATGTGAAACAGAGAACCATCTCATCATCACCTTTTTGGATAAGAAATAAAGAAACTGTTAGTTTCAATTATATTTGAAAAACACTTATTTACATGTATGTATGTATGTATGTATGCAGAAACCAATTCTCGAAAAGTGTTATTAGTTATTCATGTTATTAGGTAAGGAAGCATGTCTCTATTTAGTAGGAGATGGTTCATCTGTTCATTAAATACGAACAACATTCCATTTACATGTCCCCATCATTGTCAACAGTCATTGACAGCTCCACACACACACACACACACATACAAACACAAAATGACCCCCGTGCCACCCTGTGTTGTTTACCCAGCCCAATGCTTTTACACTCTGGTTGAGGCTTAGACTGACTTACTGGGTCTATAACTGATGGAGGCCCAGGCTTCCACTGTCCAGCATTTTGTGCTGAGCCAAACATTTTGCCCCACACAGGCTGCACAGGAAGGGTGGGACGGGACGGGGCGGGGGTCCTGTTGTCACCCCTCACATTCTACACAGGGCTGGGGAAAGTCAGGGACGAAGGCCCATCAGGGTGGGGAGATGGGACAGAACTTCTAAACCTGCTACTCCTCTGGGGAATGATCGGCTTGTTTGTGCAGTACATGTGAATGTAGCAGGGGTTGATAATCCAGGGTGATGACTACACAGTGTTAACACTGCAACCTCGGTTGCTAATTTTGTCTCCTTTCTCTCCTCCCTGTGTCACTTCAGTCATAACCAGAGGACCACGGCGTTTCGCCATCCTGTGAGCGGACAGATTTCTCCAGAGAACATGGATTTCATCCTGCAGGAACAGTGAGTGATTGAGTTTACTTTTCTGCTGCCCCATCCATTCAAAAAACCTCTCAGCTGGTGAAATAAAAAATTGATTTGGTGTCAGATGCTCTTTGCTACATTGACTTTCTCCAGCTGCTTTGAGATATATATCGACAATGAAATAGGCTAAAATGCTATTTTCATTTTTGATGCGAATGCTATAATGTGAGCTATGGGCTTCCTCCTCTCCTCTGACGTGATGAAATGATACTGGAAATGAGGAGCATCTGAAGCATGTGAAGAAGAGAAATCCACGGCTCCTATAGTGACTTATGGTTTGTTATATTGTCTGATTTACTGCGGTCGCCTGACCCTTGATTCACAGTGACTTCAAAAAAATATTATCTATACCATTAGGTTATCACTTGCATATTTTTTCCTTTTTTCACTGAGTGGTTTGATAGTAGGGTCTTTGAAAAGTCTTGACATAAGTCAACATGTGGGCAGTTCAATTCACCACTACATTTCTGAATTAGAAGTAAAAAGCGAAGATGTTGGTGGAATTGTCAAGGACATGCTCTCACTGTCTGGTGATGCTTTAGCAGGAGTCCGTAAAGTGTTTCTCTCTCTTCCTGTTAAGACCATTACAGCTGGAAAGTGCAGCTAAACCTGGGTTACTTTTAGAATCTGTTCTAGTTTGCTCTCTTATCCAGAGTGAAGATGGGCAAACATTTTAGAAATGCAATTTTTGAATTCCAACTATGCTGTACAGGTATGTCATCTGTAATGGAAAGTCAGAACACATGATTTATGTGCTCATGCTGTACAGACCGATAGTCAAACCACAACATGACTGCTCACACTGAACGTACCTGTCGGATCCTCTGGACCGGTCTGGTTTTTGTCAAAGAGAAAGTCGAAGTTTGTTTGCTTTCACAATTCTTACGAGGTAGAAACTACTTGACCATATGTGCCATTCTGTGTGCTGAGACTAAAAAATAGAGGCAGCATTTCCCCCAGTTGTGATGGTGGGCGAAGGAAGTATTGAACAGACAGGCAGGCTGTTTCAACAGCTCGACCAGCCTCGGCTCCATGTTTTCAGTCCATATGACTCAACATGTTGCATGTCCTGGTTTTACTTTCATTGTGTTTTGCTATTAAACTGAAAAAAACCTACTACTAGTACTTCTACTCTGGAGCCTACTTTTGAATTATTCCTCATCACTAGTGACTCCAAACATTCATATTATTGTTTGTCTGCTGATCATTGTGTGCAGAGCTTTGTATCAACAGTTTATAGTGTTAGAGTGAAGTTAGAAAACGTTGTGTTCATCGTACCTGGTTTATCTGTAGTGACGATTTTATAGTCAATGTTTTTCATAAAATGAAACTGAATTCACTTTATTATTTTTTATTATTGTTTTTGTGTGTGGACACAAAATAAAGGATTGCACCAACAAGTTGTTTTGACAAATTGCTATTGAGGAAGTGATCTTATGAATGTTGTTGCCATGACGGAGGTCGGTTACAACCGGGAATGTCTGTATCGGTCCAATATGGTGAAAAGAAAGTTATCAAAATAATCTGACGGTGATGTAGAACCATAGTGTGACGCAGTTGCCGATCATCGCAGTTTATCTGAGGAAGTAGATAGTCCACAGCCTGAAGGCACAATCGCCCCCCGTCGATTGCTGCAGAGCGCCGGTCTAGTAGGTTGCTTGATCTACAGACAAGAAAATACAAAGGTGTATATCCCAAAATGTCAAACTGTTTCCTTGAGTGCTTTGGACTACTTACTTTAAAGTTGCACTTAATAATTGTGCACATTCATTGTAGTTCTCTAATGTTGTTGAGAGGTGTTATCATCTGTAAATACACATATGACCAACCAGCACATGGATGTTTATCTCCATTTACCAGCGCGTGGTGCTCTACCACTTTAAGAGACCTGGTTAAGCAGGTCTCTGTGGGATAAACAAGTCAGAGTGCTTACTCTCGCCTCTTTAGCTGACAGTTTGTATTACACTCCAAGGACTTTGTTTGTGCAAAGATTTCCTGCCAGTGACTAAACCTGACACCTGACTTTCACCACAGTAAAGAGGCTCTCTAAGGTGTCAGTTACTAGTGACGGGACACTCTTTCCTCTCGCATGCCCAGATTGTGATACAGGTCAATGAGACTGGGCAATATAAATAAATGCATCCTTTGGCTTAATATAATACCATCCAAAAACAAGAAAATAAACCCTCAGGCAAATTGTTGCTCCACTTTGAGAGCTTTTTGTTCAGAAGGTACGTGTCTTTGTCTGCATGTCTGAGAATGTTTCTGTCAACTAGGTTAGGTGGAAAAAACTCAAAATGCGATATGTTTGACATTGCTGCCTTCTTTTCTATTATTTCTTCGACTGCCAAGAACCAGACTGCAGTTTTATATACTCCAGTCCTTCTTCCTTAGTCAATGGTGAAAAAATTCCTTTGCAGTCACATGGTTCAGTGGAATATTTGACTACTGGCACACTTGCACTAGATGGGTCAAAGCCAGAGTCCACAGTGTTTATGGCGACTGTCCTCCTGTAAAAAAAGATCCCATAGGTCATCTGTGCAAGCAGCTTATTATCATAGTTTTAGATTTTATTGTTAGATGAACTTTAGCTGCTATATAATTATGATGGAGGTAAAGGAGTAAGTTGTGTGGAAGATTAAAACTTGGAAGCTCATTATAAAGTGTCTTAGGACACTTAATTGTGACACTTAGGGCTACTTAGTTTAATAGCTGCTATGCTATGCTTGAATCCTTTCTCCATCACTTTACCCTATAACACCACAGTAGACAATTTGAAAAAGTTTAGCAATGTTTCCCATTAATTACAGACACTGTGTTGGCCAGTGATGTTCTAATCTGTACTGCCACAGTTTCATAATGAACAATGTTTTTACATTTTCAGTATATAACTTCTCTAATTTTTGTTTTGTGCAGTTGCTACATTATAGAGCTCTCTCCCTCCGTCATGGACTCCTTCCTACCTCTCCATCAGCAGTACACAGGGAAATCCTGCATCACTGAGTCGTTACAACATCCATACGTTTTCACCGTCCTTGCAGGCAGCCCTCGTCATATCCTCAGCTGTATGTGTGCGCGCTCCCATGAGGGCCATGCAGTTCTCAACAGGCAGGGAGACATCACTCTTTCTGACGTTTGGTCTCTGTGGTGTTGCACATGAGAATTGAACTGCATGCCATTTTGTCAGTGGTGTACAATGTTGACTAGTGGAGGGGCTAGCAGTAATCTTTTTACTTTTGCACTTGTGCATTGCAGATAAACCTTTAAATCTCTGTTGGATGACTAGCTGTAACTAGCTACAGACAAATGTGCTTGTCAAACAGCTGACTCTGCTTCCACCATTCAGAAATCAGGTGTGTTGCACAGATTACTATACACATGGACAACTTTATATTCTATTAAGATCTTTGAGACAGCATATTGTCACTCAGACAAGTGGTGCAGAGAGACAGAGAGAGAGAGAGAAAGAGAGAGAGAGAGGATATGTGACTATGAGACTGGTGACTGGAGCATTAGTCATCACTGTAGCTGTGAACTAGCTGTGAAATGTTTGTGCAGTTCAGGCTGTTTGTCAGTAAATAAGTGCTACAAGTCCTCAAGACCCTGTACTCTCACTGCTCCCATATGTCCTGACAGCAGAACTGCTCTCACATATTGTGCTGCGCCATTAACAATGACAGGATGGTCAATTAGACTGTAATTCATTCATTTTCTCATTATTGCTACTTTTTAACCCAGAGGATAGACTTTTATTTTGCTCAACTGTTGCACACTAGATTGCCTCACCTCTGTCAGACACTGCTCTCAGATGCACTTGACTTCTCTCGCTCCACTGCCCTGTTCCACCTCACTATTGTAAGATAGCTTTGTGTATGTCTAGACCTAATCACAATACCTGATGTTTCATATCAACTGCATATTGTCATTTTAAAGTTTCATTGCAGGTTCAGTGTTTAATTCTTCTTGAAGTAATATGAGCCAAATTCAGTCACTAAATCCGTGAAGAACAATTAATAGAGCTCTTGTAGCTGTTAATATAATAAAGAGACATTATAGTATAATGTTTTATTGCTCAGGCTCCATTTGTAACCTATTTTCCCTTTTCATTTTTTACTTTCTGTCATCTCAGTATTTTCCATTTCCTACCATCTCTATTTCCATCTATCCTGCACCATCACACTCTCTGCCATTTTGCTTTTCCTGCTTTCATTGTTCTTCATATCATCTGTCTTGTTTTCTCTCACTCTCTTTCATTCTCTACTTCCATTCCTTTCTTTTATCTTCTATCCTTTCAATTCTCACTCCTTTACCTTATTGTCACCCCCTTTTCAGTGTCACTGTCATCTTTTGCACATACATCTTGCTGTCTTTATTTATATTATTTTGATATTTAAGAATTGACTAAGCATTGACTGTCTGAATTGGGATTATTTTTCATGTTGAAAGGGAAAGCATCTGCCAGCCCTTTGTCTGGCACTTAACACAGATAAAAGCCTCCTCTTGCTGTCATGTCTTTTATATGCTCATGTATCTGTAGTAGTTGGTCACTGAGCTTCACCGCCTCTCCTTCTGTCAATCTTTTGTTTTTTCGTTTTTACTTCTGCACTGTCTCTCTACATCACTCCCCAAACATCTGTCCCTCTACCCTCTTTTCCCCCCAGTCCTACTCATTGTGTTTATCTCTCTTTCCATTTTTTTCTACACCTCTCTGAGACAAGGAGGCACCAGGTTAAATTTTTTCTCACCACGTCTGATGGATCTGTCTTATTACCAGCTGCGTAGGCGTGAAGCTGGCCTGTCCAAATGCTATGCTAATGTGTCAGTGAAACATGTACGCTTTTAGACATTTGTGTGTGTGTGTGTGTGTGTGTGTGTGCGTGCGTGTGTGTGTGTGTGTGTGTGTGTGCGTGCGTGTGTGTGTGTGTGTGTGTGTGTGTGCGTGCGTGTGTGTACATGTGCAGGTTTATGATAGGAGGAAT